GGCAGCAGCAAAGTCAACAGGCTCAGAGACAAGGCAGACGCAGCAGCAGACTCAAACGACGGGTCAGTGACAACAGTGGCTAGCAGACGCGTGACAGTAGGGTGCTCAGCACGAAACCGGTCAGACTCAGGGTCAGCAACGACAGGCAGAGAAGACGCAGGAGGAGACGGCAGAGGAACACGCTGCGGAGCAGAGGACGGACGCAGAGCCATGAGGGGTGTGCCGCGGACAGCCGGCGGACGCGGACGAGGAACACGACGACTAGTGCGGACAGGCGAGACAGGACGCGACGCAGGCTCACGACGCTCAGCAAGACCTCCTGGCTGCTCAGTGTAAGGAGAAGGAGCAGGTAGCGGTGAGCCAGGCTGTAACGGAAGACCAGTAGACGACGGGAGACTAAGAACCTGGCGAAGCACGGAGTCAGGTGGTGGCAGAGACGACGGAGACGGCGGAGCAAAGAACAGTCGTGGCTGCGCAGCGCCACCAGCACCAGCAGCTCCAGCACCACCAGCAGCTCCAGCACCTCCAGCAGCTCCAGAACCTCCAGCTCCAGCTCCTCGAGCGCCAGCACCACCAGCAGCTCCAGAACCTCCAGCGCCAGCACCGCCAGTACCAGTGTCACCAGCAGCTCCAGAACCTCCAGTACCAGCACCTCCAGCACCAGTGTCACCAGCAGCTCCAGAACCTCCAGCGCCAGCACCTCCAGTACCAGCGTCACCAGCAGCCCCAGAACCTCCAGCGCCAGCACCTCCCGTACCAGCGTCACCAGCAGCAGCACCCCAAGAACCGGCACCTCCAGCCCCAGGGTCTCCAGCAGCGGCACCCCCAGACTCAGCACCGCCAGCCCCAGCAGCTCCAGTACCTCCAGTACGAGCACCTCCGGAACCAGCGAGTCCAGCACCTCCTGTAGACAAAGTACCAGCACCACTCCCAGCTGCAGAGCCCCGAGCTCCAGCAGCGGGACCCTGACGGCTAGCGTACCACTCGTGCAGCTGCTGAGGGGAGAGAGGCGCACGCGGACGAAGGCGGCCTCTCCAAGGAGACCGCGCACCAGCAGTCTCAGTACCCTCAGGCGCCGCACCCCCAGACTCAGCACCCCCAGGCTCTGTCAACATATATTTTATATGTGTTGTTTAGGTTAGTCTAGGTGTTACGTTTCTACTTACTTGCATGATTAGGGTTTGCTATATCTAGGGTTGTACTTCACATTTTCTATCAATTCATTCTTATCGTAACATGGTATAGAGCTAGGTTTCCCTTAGGCGATTTTTCCCCTAGGCGATTTTTTTCCCTTAGGCAAAATTTCTCTCGATAGTCTATGGGCCCACCACCCGCGCGCCTCGTAGCGACCCATAGCCCGAAGCGCCCTGCCCCGTAGAGCCCGAGTAGGTCGCGCCCCCCCGTCGACATCGCGCGTCACCCGTTTCTGCCCTGCGCCCCACCCGTTTTTGCCGTGCGTCACTCGTTTTCTGCCCCGCGCCCCACTCGTTTTACCCCGCGCGTTTCCCCCCAGCCCTCTAGCGCGCAGCAGACGAACGCGCGTAGCTGCGCGCGCAGCCTTAGTCGCACCCGCAGCTTCGCGCTAGTACGTCGCGGCCGCGCGCACGTGCAGCCCACCGTCTTAACCGCCCCCCAGACCTGGAAACCCGCCGCCCCAGACCTGAAAACCGCCGCCCCAGACCTGACAACCGCCGCCCCACCTGGAAACCTGCTGCCCCACCCGTTCCAGGCACCTCACCCGGGATCAGCCGCCCCACCCAGTCCTCTCCACCGCATTGAACCGCACAGAACTGCACATAACTGCACAGAACCGCACAGAACCGCCGCCTTAACAGCTTCCCCACCTGAAAACCACCGCCCCAGACCTGCCAACCGCCGCCCCACCTGGAAACCTGCTGCCCCACCCGTTCCAGGCACCTCACCCGGAATCAGCTGCCCCACCCAGTCCTCTCCACCGCATTGAACCTCACAGAACCGCACAGTACTGCACATAACCGCACAGAACTGCACAGAACCGCCGCCTCACCCGTAGCCCGCTGCCTTAACAGCTTCCCCACCTGAAACCTGCCTCCCCACGACCTACCACACCCGCCGTCAGTAGCCCCAGCCGATTACACTGCCGCCAGCTACACCAGCAGCAGCATAGGCTGCCCCCAGCGCACCAGCAGCAACGTAGGCTGCCCCCAGCAGAACCAGCAGAACCAGCAGAACCAGCAGAACCAGCAGAACCAGCAGAACCAGCAGAACCAGCAGAACCAGCAGAACCAGCAGCAGCATAGGCTGCCCCCAGCGCACCAGCAGCAGCTTAGGCTACCGCCAGCGCACCAGCAGCAGCTTAGGCAACTGCCTGCGCACTAGCAGCAGCATTGGCTGCCCCCTGGAGAACCAGTAGCAGCCTAGGCTGCCTCTCAGCAGAACCAGCAGCAGCTTAGGCTGCCCTCAGCAGAACCAGTAGCAGCATAGGCTCACATGGCATGTACTAGGGTTCTACAGCAGCAGGGCCAGCCGCAGCACTCCCGTCAGTTGGGGCCTGCGGGTCCAAAGTGTGGCGCCCCCCAGCAGTGGCTCAGCTAGCAGTGGGCGAGACGTCGGCCCCTGCGGGTACCGGGCCCTGACAGGCCCTGGTGCTGGCACTACCTGCTGGAGTCCTGACCACACTGCGTCCAGCTGCTACCGTCGACTCGACGACCTCCACCGTGAGCGTTTTGGTCCTCACGCTATTACACCGCACTGGCCTTCGCGCCTTCGCCAGCGCACTACTGCACCAGTTGAGTCTCACCTGCCTGGTCTAGGACCCTTTCCGGCTGCACGAGTAGAGACCTGTGTTTCCAGTCTTGCGTGTGTGTGTTGTTTCCAGTCCCGGCGCCTCTGAGGGTCTTTGTGTAGAAGCTGCAGCTACCACTAGTCTAGCACTAGCCTTTGTAGCTGGTTCGGGTGCGACCCCACAGACTGCACAGCTTTCCTTCACCCTAGATTCTGGAGCGTCCAGCTGTTTCTTTCGCGACTGTACCGACCTCACACCACTGCGCACTCCAGTCACTGTCGCCTTGGCTGACCCCTCTGTGGGACGTGTAGTTGCTAGCAGCACCACCACTCTTCCGTGTCCGGCGGCTCCCTCAGGTTTTCTTACAGGTTACTACACCCCCTCGTTCTCTAGGAACTTGGTGGGTGTCAGTCACCTTCACGACCTAGGCGTAGTCACTACTTTCCCACTGGACGAGCCTGTTGCCTCCTGCACTGTCGGTGCCACTGGGGCGCCCCTGGCCACATTCCACAGAGAGCCGGGATCTGGTCTGTACTCACTACACACTGGGTCCCACCACACTGAGTCGGGTCAGGTCAGGTCAGGTCAGGTAGCTGCTGTGTCGTGTGACTGTCGGTCCCTCACCCACCCGTCGGTCCTCTGGCACCACCGTCTAGGTCACCCGTCGTTCCCGCGTCTCAGTAGGATGGCACGTTACCGTCTGGTCTCAGGTCTCCCAGGGTCGCTTGCACCGCTTCCCCGCTCTCCTGCGCCGCTGTGCACTCCTTGCGTCGAGGGTCGGCAGCGCGCTGCCCCTCACTCCTCCTCGTTCCCCCCCACCACGGCTCCCTTCGAGACCCTGCACTTGGACGTCTGGGGCCCCTCTCCGGTCCTTGGCCCACGTCAGGAGCGCTACTTCCTGATTGTGGTGGACGACTACTCCCGCTACACCACGGTTTTCCCCTTGCGACGGAAGGCCGGCGTGCCTACCGTCCTCGAGCCGTGGCTACTAGCGTGGGGTGGCGCCCAGGGCCTGTGTGGGCTTCGCCTACACTCGGACCGTGGTGGTGAGTTTTCTTCCACTCGCCTGGAGACGTTCTGTCAGGGTCGGGGGATCATCCAGTCTTACACGCTACCAGCATCACCGCAGCAGAACGGGGTAGCCGAGCGACGCATCGGCCTGGTCATGGAGGTTGCCCGGACCTCCATGTGCCATGCCGGTGCCCCCCAGTTCTTGTGGCCCCAGGCAGTCCGCTACGCCGCGCACCAGCTGAACCTGTGGCCCAGTGACGCACGGCCAAGGGTGACGCCGGTCTCCCTTTGGACAGGTTCTCCGGGCGTAGCAGCTGACTTCCGCGTCTGGGGTTGTCTGGCTCACGTTCGCGCCCCTGGCACGAACAAGTTGTCTCCGCGCACTCGTGCCTGCGTCTTTCTTGGCTTCCCTTTGGACGCCTCCGGCTGGGTGTTCTACGACCCGGTCACCTACCAGTTCTTCGCTTCGCAGGACGTCACGTTCGACGAGTCTGTCTGTTACTACAGGAGTCGCCCCCACCGAGGTACTCAGGCCTTTTCCCCCCCGCTGTTCCTCACCCTTGAGCCCCCACCAGTCGCCCCGGTAGCCCCCCCCCCTTCGCGTCCTGCCCCGTCAGGTGTGTCGCACGTCACTCCGCAGTCTTCCCCCCCGCAGCGTCCAGTCCCTGTCGTGTCTGGGGGTGCGGGAGGTGCAGTTGCGGAGGGTGAGGGTACTGGGGCTGCAGGAGCTGGTGGTGTCGGCTCTGGGGGTGCAGGGGTTGTGGGCGTGGAGGTCACTCCGGTGGAGGACACGGCAGCCTCGACTCGGCGGCCTCGCCCTGCCTCACCCCCTGGCTTCCCGTCCGTCCCGCAGTTTCCTCCTCCTTCTTCTCTGCGGTCGGTTGCTGCGGAGCCTGGGGGTGTTCCTGCGGGAGGTACTGGAGGCCCCGGGGGTGTCGGTGGTGGAGGTGCTGGTTCTGGGGGTGCTGGAGCTGGAGGCACTGGCACTGTGGCGCCTACACCGCGCACTGTACGTTTCCTGACCCGTGAGCAGCGTCTCCTCCGGTTGGAGAGGGAGGAGCGTGAGCGATTTGAGAGGGCACAGCAGCAGCAGCAGCAGCAGCAGCAGCAGCAGCAGCAGCAGGAGAGAGTAGAGGAGGAGTCACAGCAGCAGCACGAGAGGGTAGCGCAGGAGTCCCGGTCGCAGCAGCGGGTGCAGCTGCAGCCGCACCAGGAGAGGGTAGAGCAGGAGTCCCGCCCGCAGCAGCAGGTGCAGTTACAGACACAGCAGGAGAGAGTAGAGGAGCAGTCACGGCCGCACCAGGAGAGGGTAGAGCAGGAGTCCCACCCGCAGCAGCAGGTGCAGTTCCAGACGCAGCAGGAGAGAGTAGAGGAGGAGTCACGGCAGCAGCAGGAGAGGGTAGCGCAGGAGTCCCGGTCGCAGCAGCGGGTACAGCTGCAGCCGCAGCAGGAGAGGGCAGAGGCGGAGCCACAGGAGCAGCAGCAGGGGCCGGTACCGTCGCAGCAGACGCCAGAGGAGGCGGAGCAGCAGCGACTGCGACTACGCGACCTCCCCGACCCAGCACCTGCATGCTTTGTTCGTGGTCCCCTGTCGTCCCCTCCTGTTCCACCAGTTGAGTCCCTTTCCTCCTCCCAGTGGACTCGTCGTCCTCCCCTCAGTCGTGCTGTGTCTCCACAGCCCCGTCGGTCCCGTTACCGTGCAGACGGTCCGTTTCACCTTGTTCTCCGCTCTCGTGTTCCACCTCCTCCTGTCCTTCCACAGCCCCCTGAGTCGTCTCTCACTGTGCTTCACGACCCGTTGTCCGACTACCTCCGTGCCTCCCGTCCTGTCGTCTCCCGTGTTTTGTCCGCGTTGGTCACTCACCCGACTGCACCTCTGTCGTCTGTCTCAGCACTTGTTACCACTGTCTCTGGCTTTGCCTCTTCCCACCGCCTTGACTACGCCGCTCACTTGGTGAGTGGCCCTGCACGTTCTCCGTCCTCTGGGGGTGCTCCTATCTTTCCCCTGGAGGTCGTAGAGGACAGGCAGTTCGAGCTTGGTTTTCTTGCGGCCGCTGTTCCTCATCTCTGCGCCATGCTGCTTGCCCCTGAGGGGGATCCAGACGCCCTTGACATCCCGATCCCTCGCACTCACGCCGAGGCGGTCTCGGGACCCTGGGCTTCGTACTGGATAGCAGCTGAGGAGGCAGAGATGGCATCTTATAGGTCCACAGGCACTTACGTCGACGCAGTCCCCACCACTTGGGACGAATGTCCCGTCAGTGGGCCGATGGCTCTACAAGGTGAAGCGGCGCCTGGATCACACCTTGTGTTCAAGGCACGCTATGTTGCGAGAGGCTTCAGTCAGCGAGCAGGGGGTGGACTTCTTCCAGACCTTCGCTCCCACCCCGAAGATGAGTACTCTTCGGGTGTTGCTGCATATTGCAGCCCAGCGCGACTACGAGTTGCACTCCTTGGACTTTTCCACCGCGTTCCTTCAGGGGAGCCTGCACGAGCAGATCTGGGCTGCGTCGCCCGCCTGGCTTCACTGGCTTCTTTCCCACCTGGGACCCAGTGGCAGCTGCGTCGACCAGTCTACGGCCTGCGTCAGGCCCCACGTGAGTGGGCACGACACACTTCGCTCGACCCTTGCAGCTCTTGACTTCTTGCCGTCGTCTGCTGACCCATCACTGTTCGTTCGCAGTGGCTCGACCCCGTTCTTTGTCCTGGTCTACGTCGACGACCTAGTGTTTCGCCACTCCCCGACCGACGCGCGCTGGCCTCCGTGAAGGAGGAACTGCAGAGGAGACACACTTGCACTGACCTTGGTGAGCTGCAGCACTACCTTGGCCTGCAGATCACCAGGGACAGGGCAGCTCGCACCATTACGCTGACTCAGTCGCATATGGTCGAGCAGATCCTCACGCGGTTTTCGCTTCCCGTTCTCCAAGGTACAGCTCACCCCTCTTGGTGTGGATCATGGGCTCACGGCTCCACCTTCGGACGAGTCATTTGAGTCCAGTGGTCCATATCCTGAGCTGGTGGGTTGTCTCATGTACCTGATGACCTGTACTCGCCCAGACCTAGCTTACCCTCTTAGCGTCCTTGCGCGCTTTGTTGCGCCTGGGAGACACCGACCTTCCCACTAGTACGCTGCTAAGAGGGTGGCTAAGTATGTGGCGAGTACATCAGGCATGGGACTTGTCCTTGGAGGGAAGCAGCCAGTTACACTCACAGGTTACTCGGACTCGTCGTGGGCCGACGACGCGGGAGACGCGTCGGTCTACACAGGGGTACTCCTTTAGCCTCGGGGCAGGTGCTGTTTCGTGGCGGTCGACTCGGGCGTCGTCTGTCGCCGGTTCCAGCTGTGAGGCAGAGGTGTACGCTGCGGCCATGGCCGCTCAGGAGCTTCGCTGGCTGTCTTTCCTTCTCACCGACCTTGGTGAGCGGCCTCGCTCTCCCCCAGTCTTGTTCGCCGACAACAGGTCTGCTGTCCTGTTGTGTGAGGAGCCCCGACTGGTTGGGAAGGCGAAGCACATCCAGCTTCGTTACTTCCTTCTGCATGAGTTGCAGCAGCGTGGACATGCACTTGTTCGACGTGTGGTCTCTGAGGCAAACACGGCAGATATCTTCACCAAGGCGTTGCCGCCTTGTGACCACCAGCGTTTCTGCACCCAGCTTGGCCTTGTGCCTGCCCGTCCTCACTTGCTTGCTTAGAGATGCCTTGTTCTGCATGTCTTGTACTCTTGCATCTCTTTATATTTGCTATATACCTGCATGTGGACTGGCCTTGTGGCCCCTTGCTTGCTCTCGGAGTGTGTGGTGACTTTGAGCTCCACCCTGAGATTTGTCTTGTTCTTGTAGACTGGTCTTGTGACCGTTGCTTGCTCTTGTTGTTTCTACAGGACTTCCGTCACCTAGACTATGGGGGTGTGTCAACATATATTTTATATGTGTTGTTTAGGTTAGTCTAGGTGTTACGTTTCTACTTACTTGCATGATTAGGGTTTGCTATATCTAGGGTTGTACTTCACATTTTCTATCAATTCATTCTTATCGTAACAGGCTCCTCACGCTCAGGCGCAGCACCCCCAGACGCAGCACACCCCAGGCGTAGCAGGAACTCCAGGAGAAACACCTCCAGTAGCAGAGTCACCAGCTCCAGTGCCTCCAACTCCAGTGCCTCCCGCAGCAGGGCTCCCAGCTCCAGCAGCGCGACCCTGACGGCGAACGTACCACTCACGCAGCTGCTGTGGGGAGAGCGGGACAGCACCAGCTCCAGTGCCTCCAGCCCCAGCGCCTCCCGCAGCAGGGCCCCCAGCTCCAGCAGCGCGAACCTGACGGCTAACGTACCACTCACGCAGCTGCTGTGGGGAGAGAGGGAGACGACGACGAGAGTGCAGCGGCGAGGCACCAGCGGAGCGACTACGGAGACGGCCGCTCCAGGGAGACTGCTCACCAGACACCTCAGCGCCCCCAGGTGCAGCACCCCCAGACTCAGTACCCCCAGGCTCAGCACGCTCAGGCTCAGCACTCCCAGGCTCCGCACCCCCAGGCTCAGCACCCCCAGGCTCCGCACCCCCAGGCTCCACACCCCCAGGCTCAGCACCCCCAGGCTCCGCACCCCCAGGCTCCGCACCCCCAGGCTCAGCACCCCCAGAAGCAGCACCCCGAGCAGGGACCACCCCCAGCAGGACCTGAGTCACCAGTGACCTCAACCGGCTCAGACAAGGGAGGAGGGTCTACCTGAGACACACCTGAGGAAGGAGCAGGACCGGGAGCGGGGAGGGGGTCTACCTGGGGAGCACCTGGAGCGAGGAAGAGCGGCGGGGGGGGGAGAGGGGCAGTGCGGTAGGGGAAGAGACGGTAAAAGGGAACCGACTCGTCGAACGTGACGTCCTGAGAGGGGAAGACACGGCGCGAGGTGGGGTGGTAAAACTGCCAACCAGGCGCGTCAGGGACAAAGCCAAGGAAGACACAGGGAACAGCGCGGGCGGAGAGCTTGTCCGCGGTGGTATCGCGAACAAAGGCACAAGAACCCCAGACCCGGAACACCGACGCATCGCCAACCTCCCCCGTCCACCGCAGTGTGGGCGAGGTCTCCGGCAAGGAGACACGGGGCCAGAGGTTCAGCTGATGCGCGGCGTAGCGGACCGCAAACGGCCACAGAAAATGGGGGGCAGCCGCATGGACCATGGAGGTACGAGCGACCTCCATGACCAAGCCATTGCGGCGCTCAGCAACCCCATTCTGCTGCGGAGAGGCCGGAAGCGTGAACGTCTGGCGAATGCCCTCCCCACGACAAAAGCTCTGCAGAAGGTCGGAGGAAAACTCCCCACCTCTATCAGAGTGCAGACGCAGGACGGGAAACTCCGTCCCGAACCGCTCGCGGAGCTGGAGACGGGCAGCGCGGATCCAAGGGATCAAAACATCAGGGACCTCACCCTTGGTGCGCAAGGGGAAGACCGTGGTGTAACGCGAGTAGTCGTCAACAACCAGCAGGAAGTACCGCTCGCGGTCCTGCCCACTGACGCGGGCTGGGCCCCACACGTCCATGTGCAGGGTCTGCAGGGGAGCAATCGTCGGGAGAAACGAGGAGGAGTGAGGAGCGGCGCGCTGCCGCCCCTCGACACAGGGAAGACAGGGAGGAGCAGGCGAGGGTGGGAGGGGAGGGAGAACTTTGGGAAGACCAGAGACAAGAACACGGTGGTGCATGCTACGAAGGCGCTGCACCGAGGGGTGACCAAGGCGGTGGTGCCAAAGGAGGGTCTGGTGCGACAAAGCGCGACACGAGCAGGGGGGCGCTAGCTGACCTGACGCAGATGCAGACGCAGCGACCTGAGGGGACACAGTAGTCAGTGTGTACAGACTCGAGCCAGGCGCACGGGTAAACGTGGCCAGGTGCCGGCCCGTCCGGGAGCACGTACAGTGGGTCACGCGCTGACCTCCAGGAGTGAACTGGTCAACCCACTGGTCCTGGAGGTCAGCACCACTCACCAAGTTCGTAGAGAACGAGGGGAGGTGAAGACCTAACAGGGAGCCAGACGGGACCGCCGGACACGGCAGGACCGTGGAGGAGTGCGCAAGGACTGGACCCCCAGAGGGGTCTGCCAGGGAGACTGCAACCGGCCGACGGAGCGGCGTGAGGGTGGTGCTGTCGCGAAAGAAGGAGCGAGAAGCACCTGAGTCAAGTGTGAAGGTGTACAAGGCCTCAGCAGTCGCAGTACCAGAGAGAGCAGACTCACCAGCACCTGGAGCAGAAGCCTCACCAACACCTAGAGCAGGAGACGCACTAGCACCTAGATCAGCAGCCTCACCAGCACCTAGAGCAGGAGACGCACTAGCACCTAGAGCAGCAGCCTCACCAACACCTAGAGCAGCAGGCTCTATACCTGGGTCAGGCGGTACGCACAGGTAACAGGCACGGTCAGCACTAGTAGGCAATGCATACATGGCAGTGAGAATAGCATCATAGTCAAGAGCAAAGATATCTACCCTCTGCCCAAGCAGCTCCAGCCAGGTGGGGAGCTCAGCCTCGTCGCCAAACTCGGTACGCCAGGCGTCGCTCAGACGAGCGAAGCAGCGGGACTGTGTGTGACCAAGCGTCCCGCAAGCCTGACCAGCCCGATCACCTGTGCGAATGACGTACGAGCAGCGAACGGTACTCCGAGACCCTCTACTCTGAGCGTACCACTCCTGAAGCTGCTGGGACGTAAGTGTCTCGCGTGGACGCCGCTGCAGCTGCAGCTGGCCACTGCCAGACGCTCCCAACTGACCAGCTCCAGGGCGACAGCTACGACGGCTACCACCACAACCCCAACTAGCGTACCACTCACGAAGCTGCTGGGGCGGGGAGAGACTCGCGTGGACGTCGCTGGAGCTGCATCTGGCCACCGCCAGTAGCAGTAGTAGCCGAAGTAGCAGCAGTAGCAGCAAGCAGCAGCCTAGCAGTAGTAACAGTGCGGGCAGGGCAGGTGCGGCAGGCAGGCAGGCAGGCAGGCAGGCAGGCAGACAGGCAGGCAGGTGACGCGGCAGCGCGCGAACAAGGTAGGTGCTCACCAGTGGCGGGAAGGGCAGGCGCTCGCCGGGCAAGCAGGGCCGGCGCTCGGCGGGCGGCGGCCGGGTAGGTGCACGACGGCGGCGACGGCGGGGCCGCGACAGCTGCGGCAGAGCAGGGCCGCGTCGGCGGTAGAGCAGGTCCGCGACAGCTGCTGCAGGGCGGGGCCGTGAAGACTGCTGCAGGGCGGGGCCGCGAGGACTGCTGCAGGGTGAGGCCGCGACAGCAGCAGGAGGCTCCGCGGCAGCTTCTGTAGGGCGGGGCCGCGACCGTGGCAGGGCGCTCCGCGGCAGCTGCTGCAGAAGCGACGGCGGCAGTCAGGCAGGGGCGGCGTCCAGGGGGGGGGTCGCGTCGAACAGGGGCAGCCGCGGCGCGCGGGGGCTGCTGCGGGCTACGCAAGCTGCGGGCGCGGCGCGCGAAGCCGCAGCGGGCTGCGCGGAGGACGGCAGCCGCGGCGCGCGGGGCTGCAGCGCGACGCGCGGCAGCGGACGCGACGCGCGGGGCTGCAGCGCGACGCTGCGGGCAGCGGACGCGACGCGCGGGGCTGCAGCAAGCAGCGCGGGCTGCAGACGCGGCGCGCGGAGCAGCAGCGAGCCGCGCGCGGGCTGCCGAGGCGCGACTCGGGCAGCTTGGGCGACGCGCGGGGCAAAAACCGGGCCGCGCGCAGGAATCAGGTCTGCGCGCTCTAAGCAGCAGCAGACCGCGCAGTCAGCAGACAGCAGGCAGTAGGCA